CATCCTCTATCCAAGTGTCTCCCTGTTTTTCTACTTTCACTCTCAGTCATTAGGCTGCTGCAGGGATTCTCCAAACCTCCTTGCCAATTGCTCTCTGAATGAAGAGCACAGTAGTGACACAGTTGTGTTTGGACCAAACTAGATATGTTTCCATGCACCACATTTTGGACTATTACATACAAGTGCTTGACAGAAACGCCAAGATGTGTATAAATTTTGAAAATATGCATAAAAAAAACTCAACTGAGGATACGTTATTCATCTGATAATAAAAAAACGCTCATCAGCTATGATGAAAACTCATGTATTGTATAAATTTCAGTATGCGCATGCACAGGTTTGGGATTTTGTTTTATAAATCATACTATAATAAATATGCATTATAGCACTGCATTAATGGATAAACTATCAGGCCGACCATATTGCACATCTGAAATTTTGTTTGGGACATTCTAAAATCCCTTCAGTTGGTCATCAAAGTGGTTGGGCATTATCAGTGGTGGAAAGAGTATTGAAAAATCAAACTCAAGTAAAAGTACAATTACTTGCCCAAAAATGTAGTGCAAGTAAAGTATCTGTTGTAAATATTACTCAAAGCAGGAGTAAAATGTAGCCCTTTCAAAAGTACTCAAGAGTTGTGAGTATTGAGTATTACAATGTGAATGGCTCATGCGTGTACATGTAATTTGTGCACGGATGTGTTAATGTAACATTATATAGTGCATTAGTCATTGTTTAAGGGCATTTGGTGGTTAGTTAGTTTGGTGTGTTCTACTTGAAGCTTTTTGACCCGATTCCGCATGTAGAATTGGCATCGACCATCTGCTAAAGAGAGTTCTCTGACTGGTTATTTAGCAATAAATCAGACCACGAGTGTGACATGGCGAAGTGACAGCAACAAAACAATTGAATCCAAGAAGGGTCACAAAGAGGCTGGCTGTAATTTCACTACCTTTCTCATATATTTGTAAATGATATGGATTATGAGATTGTCAGACACATTTGCAAGAGCGAACCCCTTATTGGTGAGTGACAATTACTTTGATAATGGTACTAAATGTTGCTTTGTTTACGCTTTCTCTGTGCAGGTCAGAAGTTTGGTTTCCCTTGTTTAGTGTTGACTTATTGTGTCCTGGCCCTAACCCTTGTCCCAACCAGATCCTCTTTGAATTCCAAGTATAAATCTGTTTCTATTACGTCTGCAAGACAGGTAGTGTACATGCAGTGTGCCAGGTGATATAGGAGACAATATGTGCCATGTGATATAGGAGATATAGGCTAATTATCATTGCTAGACAAATGTTATCAATGGTGCTTCCTGGCTAACATGGCCTCATTAGTCCCTGATGTCATTAGTCTAAAATAAGTACTCAACTGCAAAATAAAAAAACAAGATATGATTACTTTAGTATATGATTAAATTAAATAACTATGCAAAATGACAATACAACTTAATAAACAGAGTCTCAGACACTGCATTAGCAACTATTTCACACTTTAAAATATGCCCTTATACAAATCCTTACTCACTCACTAACTTCTTTTCAAAAAGAGAATTTAAACTTCCTTTTCTTCTATGGCGATGTGTTTAACACAATAAGCTCTGTCACATAGATTCACATTCTTCATATCATGTCTTAAAAGTGATGATTTGCTGATGAATTTTTGTTTCATCTCATTCGTTATGGACCTGCCCACTCTACAGCTTCTCTTCTCCATGGGTGCGTTTCCCAAACAACGACGTAACTCGCGGCTGAACTATTATAGTACAATGCATCGTTTAGGAAAAGAACTGTAGTGACGAGTGTTTCCAAAACACGTAGTTCTCTGTGGCAGATCCATCATTTGAACCACGTTAGTTATAACGTAAAATGTCCATAAAACAGGGTGGAGTAACAACTTCTTCAGAGAAGAACCCCATAATTTCTTCATGCAAATTATATTGTTTTACATGTCCATGCATTCAAAATAAAATCCAGTATTAGCTTTGGTAAAAACATGCACTCGCTTTCCATATTAATTTAAGTTTATGTTAATGGCACATATAGGGCCTGTATGTTTCTTTTACAAATATTACTGAGAACATTACATATTCTATTCTAAAACATAAAATCACTTACAAAAGCTAACACATATTCTAATATCATATATAAATCATATAAATAAATAAATAAAGAATGAGGCTATTTATTAGGAAATTAAATTTAATATGTATTATTTATTATCAAATTTTTTAAATCCTACTTTATTAATCATATTAATAGTAATAGTACTGATGATGATGATTATCATTATTAAGTAGGATATTGTTTATTTATTTATTCTTTTTTAAGTCTACTTTTACAATGTGATCACGTGCAAATCACTGCAGAAATGCTCTAACCAGCAGGCCCATGTCATATACAGTACAGATACTTAATAAATAACCTAGTATAAATTAAAAGCATTAACATATGCTATGTTTTTTGTTTTCACAAGCTCTGGAGACGTAACATAAATTCTGCTAATAGGTCACGAGCTTTACTCATGAGGCTGTGTTCAAAATGACATTAATGTTTTTAAAGTGCACTGCGAAGGGAGCAAAGTTGTAAACATGAAGATGGCTAAAACTAAACTGTAAAAATACTTTGAAAGCAAATTACACCTAAGAAAGATGGCTTTAATGCTTTTTTATTTTTAATCATTCTAAGTTTAAATGTTAGAATATTTTAAATGAACAATTAAGGCATAGGGAAGATAAGTGGGAATAGAACACAGCTAAGAACTATGTTTCTATTTACAGCTCCAGAGGTGTAGTTGCAAGTGCACAAGTTTGCAACGCAGTTTGCGAATGTTCATTGGAACGATGGATTTGGGAAATGGCAAATCAACGAACTATATTTGTAACAACAGAACTTGCGACTTTCATTCATTCTTTCATGCTGGACATACGCAGCGGATGCCCTTCCAGCCACAACTCATCTCTGGGACACATCCAGACACACATTCACTCACACACTTATACACTACAATTTAGCCTACCCAATTCACCTGTAGCGCATGTCTTTGGTCTGTGGGGGAAGCTGGAGCACACGGAGCATGCAAACTCCTCACAGAAACGGCAACTGAGCCGAGGCTCGAACCAGTGACCTTCTTGCTGTGAAGCGACAGCACTACCTACTGCACCACTGCTTCGCCCGAACTTGCGACTTTGGTTGGCTGAAGATGGTTTTGGTAAACGCACCCCAGAGCAGAAGTATCACTCACTGGTAGATCATAGAAAGTTTTTTTTTTTATATCATTTTCTTATACAACTTCAGATCCATTCGGACAAAAGTCCCAGATAAATTCACAGTTCAACAGCACAATCTATATAAATATACCAGGGGTATTCTACCAGAAACTTACATTTTTACTTATAAAAATGTGACATGGCCTGACCTTTAAGCTTGTCTTCCTCAGAAAATCATAAAAAAACAAGCGTAAAATCATCAATTAATTTGTGCTATATATATTTTATATTAATTTATAGAATTTATTTATAATTTCATGTTTTTTTAATAAATTGATGCGAATTATAACAAAAAGTAAAAAAAAAAAATTTTTCAAAATAATGGTTTTTAGCATAACAAAACTATTAAAGCTGTAGGTTCGATTTGGCTGAGGACAAGGACATTGACAGCGTTTGTAAATTAAAAGTAAACAAAAATCTGAGAACCAAATGAATGACAAACGTTTACAGAACTACACACAGAAATCAACCATTTTAGAAATGTTTGGGATAAAATACTTTTTTATTCACTGTATGTATGTTTATTTCCAATAGAACCACTTCTATTGGTCCAAATCTGATAAAGCAATACATGCAACAACTTTAAACCTCCAATGAAGTCTGGAGGCAGACATGGTGCAGTCTCAGACCGATGCTTGTGTGTAGGATATTTCAGACACATATCACAATCGTTTTTAATAAGATTCACCTAATAATTAAAAACAACACATTTTATAATGTCGCGAGTGGAATATACTTACAGCGAGTGTCCATACGTGATCTATCTCACAAAGAGCGAAAGCATGTCCGCGTGCACATGTGCGGCTGAGTGCTGTCTGATTGCGCATGTCCGGCTGAGATTACATCACTCTGAATGCGCATGTCTGGCTCAGATTGCACCGGTCTGAGACTGCATTGTGTCTGCAGCCAGACCCTTCTCTCTCTTGCTTACTCCACTTTACTTTGTTGATTTACCCTGGTAAGTGGATCCCTTGTATCCACCTCAGTTCTCTGACCCTTCAGCTTCTTTAATTCCCCAGCTCCACTCAGGCCTGTCAGTCCTGGGACTCCACCTCAGCCCTTGAACCTTCCAGCTCTGCCTTAGTTTGTCATCTTAGCTAGTCTCAGGGTCCATCAGGCTCCTTCTTTCACCTCGATCGTCTATGTAACCCTAACTCTCTATATCTTCAGCTCTGGGTCTCCACTTCCATTAAAAACCGCTGCGACATTCCACTTGAGTAAAATTCATCATGGCTCCTCCCTCTCATGAATCCAGTGTAGTTTTCTATGAGGCTTTTCTGGTTACCTGGATCTTCCTAATAACTTCTCCTGTTGTTTCTTTTTTTCTGTTACCTGTCTCCCATTTACTGGTCACCCCTTCAGAGCCCCCACTCTCCCTCCTCAGTTTGACTATTGTCCCAACAAAAACACCATCTCAGGAGGGGCAAAAATCATCTTTAACCTTTGGTTTTTAATGAACACATGCCTGTTTCGGTTCCCCCTGTTTAATCTAAGCCCTGTCTTTCCATTATTGTTTATTTTAAACTCGTTGTATTGTTAATTAAGCAGTTTTGAATTACAAGGACATAAGGCATGTTCTCATAAACCACCTAAATTAAGTACAACTAGGCCATACCCATGTCATTATATAAATGTTTGTCCTTGTAAACCACCTAAACCGGCACACTCTCATACTTCCATCTCAGAAAATGTAAAACAGCTAGACAACCATTTAATCAAAGTCATTTCATTTTATTTAATCATAGATTTTTTATTGAAAATATATTTCCAGAATTACACTCAGAATTACATTCAAGTTAAAAAAAACAAAACAATTATTGGGTTAAAAAAGATTTAAAACAATTATGGATAGTAAAACCTATCAACTTCATAGTCCATACTAAAAAACTACAGAATCTCAAATGTTTAAGATGAATGATCAATGAGTAAAAAATGTAAACAACATATACACAAAGATAAAATACATGCATATCATCCCTGAGAAAATGATTCTTCTGTCCTGAGAGAACTGTAACACACATGAAGCCTAATGGTCGATTCTTTTTCTGTGTGAGATATTGATGTAAAAGCATAATTTTGGCTCAGCATGTGAACTGACTCAATCTTGAAAACATGGCAGTTCTGCCTCAGACTGGTATCTGTAAGTTGTCCCTGAAACAGGAAGCTCGTGGAGGAACTGGGTAGCTGCACAGGTCCTGATATATACAAGCCATCTGATCACTGACTAAGTTGTCTGAGATTTCCATATTCCCACTACTGCACTGGGTTCGCCGTGCAGTCACTGCATTCAAAAGCTGCTGACAGTTCCATGCTGTGATCTGCATGGACAAAGCATTCATGTTACTGCTATGTTTCATAGTGTTTTAAATTCTGCCAATCAAGAACAGACAGATGAAAAGGTAAATTCAGCAAACACTAATTGTTTCTAAGTAAGGTAATTAATATTAGGTAATAACTTCATGTGTTTGGTTTCATAGACAGGGTTTAGTTCACTTAAAACATTTAAATAATTGTTATAAATGCACTTAAAAAATCATTAATGGTGTCCACCTTGAGATAAAACAAGGACATTGATATCATTTAAGAAAAGTCTTAAAAAAGTTTCTTTCACTTGACGTAGCTCAGACATTTAGTCTGGAACTAAGCTTGATCTTTGTTTTAGAAATCTACAGTACAGGTTTCATTTTTTTTACTTAACAATTGTGAAATATTGAAATATTATAATACCTTACATGTTAAATGTTTGTTATAATTCAATACAATACCTAATCCATTAAATATTTCCTAAGAAATCTTAAACATAAAATTCTAACATACAGTGCTTAGCATATATAAGAACACCCCTCACAAATCTTTTAAATTCATATTTTTAATAGGATGCTATATAAATATTATGTTTGTGCATATACTTTAGATTAGTCAGTACTAAATTCAAATCTGGAGCTTATCTAGTCAAAAAAACCTACGACAACAGTTTAAAAATTAGTAGCTCAAATGTATGTTATAGAAAATTATAAAATACAAAATTGAAATAAGAGGAAAAATCAGGAGATGCAAAAAAATTTGAAAAATTTAGTTGAAATTTTGTAGGTTTTTTTTTTTTTTTTTGCAATATTTAGCTTGAATTTAATTGTATTATCTTTTCATTTCTAAATATGTTTGGAGACTAAAATATTATTTTAATAAATATATCTGTTTAATAAATTAGTTTTGTTTAAATGCACCAAAACACATTAACTATATTCACTAAGAAATTGATACAAATATTATTTTTCAAAATGGGGTGTACTCAATTATGTTAAGCACTGTAATTGAAAGAAAGCTTGGTTTAATGCTACAAATTTAAGAAAGCAATAAATGAGCTCAGTCATGTTTGTATACATATTTTACACTAATTACCTCCACAATGATTAATTTGCTCTTGACAGTGCTGAAATCGTTAAACTCTTCCCCGAAGCAGAGTGTGACAGTGGGCTCTGGAGCCTGATAATGACCATCCTGATACAACTGCAGTGCTGCAAGAAAATAAAACAACAAAACATCAATCCTCTCGTTTTTAAGTCACATTATTTAGGAATCAATGTATCAAGTCAGCTGCATTTCAGTGTAAGCTTAAAGCACTGAAAATAACTGCTCACTGTTATGATCACAAATGACCAGTAAGTACTTTAGGTCACACTTTATTTTGATGGAGCATTTGTTACACTGCATCTACATGTCAATCAATTCTCATTAGATTATAAGTAGACTGTTAGGTTAAGGTTAGGGTTAGGATTAGTGTAAATTGACATGTACTTGCAAAGTTTCTTATAGTCAGTTAAATGTCTGTTGAAGGAGCAGTATAAACAGATATTAAGCAGACAGTCTACTAATACTCAAATGGACCATCGAAATAAAGCGTTACCAAACTTTATTTACCAGTGATGTCCAACCCTCTTCCTGGAGGGCTTCTGTCCAACAGAGCACTTCACCTTGGGTCTCATTTATAAATAATTTATCATTTATTTATGCAACTTTCCATGCAAAAGTTGTGATTTATAAAAACAGTTATTGGGAGAATGTGCGCTTAAAAATCGAAACTACTATAAATCATCATATGAGCCATAATCCTTAATAAATATATTTAAACGTATTCTGGTGTACGTTCACTTTTAGGAACGTTCCTTTGCAAATTTTTTAAACCAGTCCCCAAAACACATTTGAACAAAGTCTTTAGAAACACAATAAATAAGTAAGTAAGTTTGTTACAGCTGACTGGTCAATGACTCCATTCAGAATGACTCCAATGAGCTCCAAGTTTAATCATCTCTGCTACATACTGACTTTGATTAGTAGTAAATACCATTTCTGAACTGTATTTCAGCCGTCTTATATTGAAATAGACTCTGATAAAAAAAAAACTGAATGTGTTATGTGTGTGACAGGATCTTTGTTTACCTTGTAGGAATCTGGCTGTATCGAAGATCTTCACCACAGCATCTCGCTCTAGTTTGCAGGGGTTGTACCGAGCATCCTGGCCAATCCAGAACACTCTGCTCTGGCACAGACGCTTGATAAAAATGCCCTCTCTGTTGGCACGCAGCAGTACGCCGCGCTCCAAGTGACTGAAAAGTTTGCGGGTGACGTGACGCTGGCGCTCATTCTTAATGCCGTCAATGGATGGGAAGTAAATGTTCTGGAGGCTGTCTGACCCGTACAAGAAGCCATTAGCCGTAGAGGGCAGGCAGGGGGAGATACGGCAGCCCTCTGGATGAGTGGTCACCATGTTGTCCACCATCTGACCTCCGTAGTAGAAAGAAATCAACATCTGAGAGAATGCTGGAGAAAAACGAGAAATGCGTGATCAGCCTCGTGCAGCAGTGAAAATACTAAGAGATTAAAACAGATTTCCCATGTTTCTTTCAGTCAGCTCTGACTGAAACATAATAATAATGCAATGTAATATACAATGTAAATGACATACCAGAATTTAATGAGCCTGCAGGATCCTGATGAACAACAGCAGCTGTGAATGTACGTAAAAACAAATGCTTATTAACATGAACACATGGGAGTCAGGTGACAAAACAATTCATACTGTACATTTTTATATTTTTTAAACATTTACTTAAGAAAGTCAAGAAATCAAGATAGTACTTTAAGTTACTCTTATCCAACTTCTTAAACTTACTTAAAACCTAAATAAACTAGACATTAATTACCATTGAGAGGTCCTTGCTGCCACCATTCTTGCACTGAAGGCATGCTACTGCGTTCATCCAGGGGAGAATGACTACTTCTCAAGATGCCCATGTATTCATCATTTGAAGACTGCACACACACACACAGATTATTCAGAAATGAGCCATCAATCAAACATCACCAGATAATACAAAATCATTACCTAATACCTTTTTTGTTCTAAGGGAAAGGTGGCATTTAACTGATTAAAAGTGGCAATACCTCTTTAATAATTTCATCCAAGTCTGGTGAGCAGTCCATGTCAGTGGTGTCTTTTACGGTGGTGACTGTGCCTTTACCTACTACAAAATAAGATATATGCTGTCAGTTTTTATCATTTGTAAAGGCAAGGCAACATTTAGCTACACCAAAGTGTCTTTTTGTAGAATCTGAATTCTTTAAGAAATGTTTCTTTTCATAATAATCATAAAAAAAACAAAGCACAAATACTCTCTCTCTCTCTCTCTCTCTCTCTCACACACACACACACACACACACACACACACACACACACACACACACACAGACACACTTACACTTTTGTTCCTCCTCTGGCACAATCCGGTACACTTTGTAGGGCTCAGAAATGTCAAGCTGGGATCGGTCAGTAACTTCCTCAAAATCTGGGCTTTTGTTGAGTGCACAGCGCAATCTGGTCTTCCATGTCGCTGGTTCAGCTTTATCCCCCTCCTTAAACTTCCCTTTAAATATTGCCCACGCCTGTAAAAAACACATGCTTAGTCAGACATCACCACAAAATCTGAAGAAATAAGTCTTGTTTCCAAGAGACTGAAAGCAGTGATTATTCAATCGTATTTTAGAATAATACACAAACAAGCAAAAGATCACCTAAAGGATTGGTTTACCCCAAAATCAAAACTCTATTATCAATCACTCATTCTCATTTAGTTACAATTACCCATTGAGACCTTCGTTCATCTTTGGAACACAAATTAAGATATTTTAGATGAAATCTGAGAGCTCCCACATCCTCCATATACAGCAACGGTCCTTAGATGTTCAAAGTCCAGAAAAGGAACTTAAAAACATTGTCAAAACATTCCATGTGACTTTGGTGGTTCAACTGTAATTAAACTAAAGTCCAAGAATGCTTTTGTGCATCAGAAAAATTATAAAAACAACCTTGTCCACATATGCCTTCCATATCCGATGAGGTTGCACATTTACTACAAGCATCTGATGCTTGCATGTTGCACTGCTAACTGTAATGGCAATATGTTATACTGTCCAACCTAGTAAATGAGCACCCTGACGACCTGATGCAGGAGAGAACATATAGATGAGTTGCATTTACAATTTTTTCTGCCACAAAAATGTGTCAGATTACAAACTGTAAAAAAATATATGATCGATTGGTCATGACAGCATATGTTTTTAGTTCACTGTTACTTATTAAACTAGGTTAATCATGCTCTAACTTAATTTTATAAGACATGCAAGCTGTTTTAAGTCAGTTTAACATAATATCAGTTCAATAGACTCATAAGGTTAACTTGATTCAGCTTAAAAATGTAGGGCAACCAGGATTTTTTTTTAAATGCAGTTGAACTACTGAAGTCACATAGAATGTTTTGTTTTTAGTTCCTTTTCTGGGCTTTGGGACCTTTGCTTTCTATGGAGGACCAGGAGCTCTCAGATTTGAACTAATAATCTTAATTTGTGTTCTGAAGATAAACGAAAGTCTCAGATTGAAATGACATTATGGTACATTAAAACATGTTTTTTTTTTTTTTTTTTTTTTTGGTGAACCAAAACGTTGATGTAACAATAAGAAAAAATAGTCAATACCTTACGCATTATTAAGTTATAATTTGGCAATGAAGACATTAGAATAAACAGACAATATACAATCAAACTGTGACAAAATCGAAAATAACTAAGTTCAAATGTTATGATTGTGACAAATTGCATGTACACAGGGATCTATGATCTAATAACAGTCTGAAAAAATCTGACTTTTTCCAATAACAACCATAATATTATTATTAATATTATTATTATTTTTATTATTAATATTAATATTAATAATAATAATAATAATAATAATAATATAGCAATGCTGCATTATTTTTAATCATATTGTTACTGTTAAATCTACTATTATTATTACTATAATGTTTCGCTTACTTTGAAAATGGACGCATCCACCTCTTGATTGTAATCTTGTTTTCCCGCATGTTTCCAGGGGATTCGAAACATAGTGCGGTCCTCATCCTCCCACTGCAGTCCATTATAGATGTTACTGTTTATCTGTTCTATAAGCCACTGTTTCAGTCTGCGACCGCCCGAGTTCATCTTGTAGACCTTTACTTCACTAGTATGCCGTTACAAACAGCAGCTGAGGATTATAAAGTACATACTCACGGCATCCAAGCAGCTTTATTTATAATCTAAAAGACACCCGCGCAAGGGAACGGAGAGTGTAGTGAGAACGGATTGGCTTGCGCAACTCCAAGGCGTCCAATCTCTACGCCTTATGTTGCCGTACCATGAATATGTAAATGAGATTACACGAAACGGAGGCATTTACAAGAAATCTGTCTGAAAGGAAAAGAGGGGAAGGGGACTTTACAGGTTCATCCACTTTATACCTAAGCTCAATTTACTGAACTCTCCTGAAGATCCCATAAATAGGATTATGAAATATATGCTAAAGGACTTGGCAATGTGTATTCATACACCAATAGATATAGATAAATCTGATGCATGAATAAATATATTGACCTCTGACGCAGATTTGACTGATTACTATCAGGAATTTGATTTGTTCACGCCATTGTCAGTTATGGTATTCTTAATGTGTAATCTAATTTATTTTACTTATGGGCTATATAGTAGCCTACATAAACTGTATTTTGGGGTGTAATCATTTTTGATTAACAGATTCATTAATTCATTCATTTTCTTTTCGGCTTAGTCCCTTTATTAATCCGGGGTCGCGGAATGAACCGCCAATTTATTCAGCACGTTTTTACGCAGTGGATGCCCTTCCAGCCGCAATTTATCTCTGGGAAATCAAAACAGATTATGAATCTTAATTTAACCATAAACAGTAGTTATGTGCAGTTAGTTATAATATGTACTGTAAAAAATGTTCTTAAATGTCATTCATTCATTTTCTTTTCAGCTTAGTCCCGTAATTTATCAAGGGTCGCCACAGCGGAATGAACCGCCAACTTATCCAGCATGTGTTTTATGCAGCGGCTGCCCTTCCAGCACTGGGAAACACCCATGCACACTCTATCACACACATGAACTACAGCCAATTTAGCTTATTCAACCTTTAGCGCATGTCTTTGGACTGTGGGGGAAACCAGAGCACCCGGAGGAAGCCCACGCCAACACAAGGAGAACATGCAAACTCCACACAGAAATGCCAACTGACCCAACTGAGGCTCAAACCAGTGATCTTATTGCTGTGAGGCGATCGTGCGACCCACTGCGCGACCGAGATGCCCGGTTTTTAAAAGTCTTACATTTTTTTCATTAAATCAAATGAACATAGTCATCAGTTTTTAGTTCATTCATTCGCCTTTGGCTTAGTCCCTTATTTAGGGGGCACATAATTAATTTTAGAGGTCATCAAAGCGAAATGAACCACCTTAAATCAGTTAAACTGATTAAAACATTTTAAACGTTACATGAGAAAAAAACTGAAATCTGGGTAATATATTAAGTCAAAGTTATATAAAAGCATTTGTTGTCATGACATTTTGTCATATTTTTTTTTACAGTGTAGCTTAAAATTTAGCTTGAGGGGCTAATAATTTTGTTCTTAAAATGGCTTTTAAAAATCTTAAAACTGCTTTTATTCTAGCCAAAATAAAACAATTCAGACTTTCTCCAGAAAAAAAAATATTATCAGACATACTTTGAAAATTTCTTTGCTCTGTTAAACATCATTTGGGAAATATTTAAAAAGAAAAAAAAAAATCAAAGGGGGGGGGGGGGCTAATAATTCTGACTCTTTATTATTATTTACTTACTGGTTCTATAGTTTAGGGTTCATTTCCAGCTGTTTTTCTTTTTCAAATCTGTAACTCCTTAAGCACCCGCAGCTCTTTACTGGAGCTCAAGCATCAATACACAAACACTGTCAACGCTATTAAAAGGATAAATTTGAACTTTTTGTAATTATGTTTTCCTTTTTCTGCTTTTCTGTGTGATACATCGTGACATTTAGAAAAGGTATAGCAAAGAGTTAATTTTATTATACTGGCCTTTATGAACAATTGTACCTAAACTAATGGAAGATACACACAGTAACTAATTAGGATATTTCAGCTATTATTTTATAATCTCCAAAGAGAAAATGCCATTCAGTTGTATTAAAATATATTCATAAAAAGAATTGTAAAGACATTCACAAAATTTTTCCCTATACCATGGCCTAAATTATTGTTCTGCATCATCAGATTACAAATGTTATTGTGTCAAATAAAGCCTGACTGTGGTGGCATGTTCAAAAATAGTTAATGGCTCATGTCAAAGCCACGTCTAACCTGCTGTCAGGAAGTTTATTATGTAGAAACCATGAAAAGCGGATCTGGGAAAGGTGAGGTTGCAGGCTGATGGTGTGTTAGAGGATATGAGCACAGGTAGTGGTCGTCGTGAAGGAGTTCTCACTTGAAGGTGGTGTGAGAGGAAGCTGCAGGAGCAAAATACTGTAACCCATTCTTTCTCATTCAAAGCAGTGTGAAGTAGATAGGCAAAAAAATGCAAACAACAATCTAATTAGCTAACTTTAATTGCAACATAAACACAAAGTGCCATAAATAAACAACCAAACCCAAAAATTTGCATAAACTATGACATTGCATGGATTAATTGATAAAACCATCCAAAATTTGCCTTAAAAGGCCAACTAAGTGTGTCACCATTCATTCATTCATCAATCCATTCATTCATTCATTCATTCATTCATTCATTCATTCATTCATTCATTCATTCTCTAACACAGTCAATTGTACCAAACTTTGTAGACCAATCCTCAACCTAATCACGGCTTCCACTTTCAGCACAAATAGCCTCCCAAAAAATCAGCACATCACAAATTATTCAAAAAAAAAAAAAAAACATTTTATCCAAGAGTCTGATGTTAGGAAATGTTAGGAATGATAGGGAAACGGTACACATACAAAAATAATTATGTTTTCTGAATAAGAAATGCACAGTATGCAAATTTTAAAACAATTGCATAGTAAGAATTAGTTTTTACAATTAAAGTCAACATATCGTTAGGTTAACTAAAGTGTTGTTAGGACATTACATGTGTTTATACGATCCATATCAATAGTGTTTTTACTTGAATAGTTATTCTTTTAAAATGGTCTTTGGGAATTTTAGCTGTCAAATAAAAAAATGTTTAATTATATCCTGAAATTCTCCCCGTAAATGTTATTAAGAACTGAAAATGGAAGTGCTAATGCTGCAGTGGGAAAAATGTATGTATGCAATTCTCCATGAAGAGGCTACTGTATCGTTCTTAATTCTTAACTGTACGAGATATTCAACACATATATAAACTATATAAACTGTGGTTCTTAGGTTGACAGAGTTACAGCAACATATCCTGCAGAAGGTTTTGTCTTACTTTATTATTATAAAACTTGACTAAATTGAGCAAGTCAAGTGTAGATATCACTTTTAAATTGTTTTATTACTTTATTGCCACGTTTTATGCCAAGAGAGACCAACAGTACAATATACAGTATATGAAATACAAAGCATAAATTACACATTAGCGGTCCAAATACTGCATTTTATAAAGCAATTTATGCGCTTAGAGCATTTTAGCACTGATCTATTATCAATCTAATGTCGGACAACTAAAAGATCTAAAGGCATCCTTATCATTTTGGAGGTAGAGCAGTGGGGGATGCGTTTTTTTAAAAATACAGCAATGCTGGCGACTAACTCTATCAGATTCCAACAACTTATAAAGGAAAAAATACTCTTTGAGTGATCAATGGTTAATGAACTCGCTATTACCGTTTTCATAATGCTCACATCAGCATGACTGTAATCTAAAGTGTTCTATGATCTCTCTTTTGAAATGATCTGCACATGTGGGAATTGCCACACATGCTCTTTTAGTCCTTTCAGGGTGTAAATCTGGTGGGCAGCGGAGACCTGGTCAAGTCTGCTTTCACCTGTTGCTGCCCGAGGCACTGTATTGGTTGTAGGACAGAGGATAGATGCGAGAGCCCTGGCTCATCCACTCCGGATCATTTTGTTGTCCTTGTTGCTGCTGTTCTGCAAACAGACTCAGTAAAGCTTCAACCTGTTCCTGGTCTTTAAATGGGCTGGATCTATAGCTGGCCCGCAACCATGCCTGATACTGAAAGAGACAGAGAGAGCAGTGCAAAGTGAGCGTTTATATATATATATATCCTGCTCTGTCATCAAACTGACACTTGCAGTATACTCAGAGACGTTACAGTTTCAGAAGACTCAGTTAACGCAATCATATTCATGCAGGTACAGTATATGATATGAATAAACTACAGTGACAACTTTATATTAGCACAATAAAAAAGCCTCATATTAATGCCTTCACTGGAAGCGATTAAAGGTTTCCTGGAATGTCTAAAAGTTAATTTGTCACAAATCAGTTTCACTTTTGGTCTGAACAAATGGAGCAAATGTTCTTTATCCAAACCAGAACTCCTCTGTGAGCATAAGAGTGGTCGAATAGTGTATAAGCATTTTTCCAAGGATCCCATCTGGGGTTTTCTTCTGGGAATAGCATCACCATGTTTTAATAAGCCTGACCTCTGTGGGCTACTTCCACAGAACTCTGCATCACACATTAGAAAGGCAGCACCTCAGCATTCATTAATGTCTTAAGCAGTCTAGTGCAGCTATGTCATGTTTTAACGAGGGCAATGGAAAATCCCTGGCACTGAGCACTGTTTAGAGCCTCAGCTGGAATGGAGTGGGAGGACAGACATCCGTTTTGTTTCCAGTCAGACTGTCCTTACTAGACTAAGCCAGCCGTACATGTTTGCACATGTTATACATCCTCATACTTAAGCAGTAGCATTTCTGGATCACTAAGACTTCAAATAAACTGTCAGCTAAAATATAGTCCATTTGCGGTGACTGCCAGTAAAAATAAAAACTAGACTGTCATCCTAGTACAGAATCTGATCTAAATGCTATAATGTTACCTCACTTTATGGTTTCATTTAATGTTAGATAATGTATTTACTAATAGATAAAATGTTATTTGGGAAATTAAAAAATAGTTATAATATAGATTTACAAATTGATAATGAAGTTATAGAAAGAGTGTATGCAATTAAGTTACTTGGTGTTGTATTGGATCATAAAATTAGTTGGAAACCGCAAATAAATAATGTGATATTAAAGTTGGTAAAAACTGTAGCAATAGTGTATAAAGCAAGATTTATCCTGGACGGTAATTCAATGTATATATTATATAACACACTTATGTTGCCATACCTGAGTTATTGTGTTGAAATTTGGGGGAATACATATAAATCTAATTTACGATCCATATGTACAATGCAGAAAAAAAGTAATTCGACTAATAGAGCATGTCGAGTATACAAATCCTTTATTTTTTAAATTAAAGATAGTTAAGTTCAGTGATTTGGTTAAGTTTAAAACAGCACAAGGTTATGTTGAAAGCTAGGAATAAACTACTTCCGAAATGTATACAAAAGTTTTTCGAAGAACGACAAGGGGGATATAACCTGAGAAAAGAACTAAATTTTAGGAGGGTGAAAACAAGAACAACATTCAAAAGTTTGTGTATGTCTGTACATGGTGTAAAACTATGGAACAGTCTAGATCAGACTCTAAAACAACGTCAGGATATTAATCAATTTTAAAAAACTGTATAAATATATATTAATAAAGGAATATAATGATGAAGGTTATTCAAAAAATGATAAAAAGAGAAATGTATGATGAAATTTTAATGGCTATTTGCAGTACTAGATTGTTGTTGTTGTTGTTGTTGTTGTTGTTTTTTATTTATTTTGTCTATTTGGAGTACTATGTATTTTTTTCTTTTTTTTTTTCTTTGGGTGTATGTTACAAAATGAAAAGGTACAAATGGAATCAAACATTTTATTCTTCAAAGATGCCAAAATGATCAAATTTGTTTCATGTAAAAAGAAGAGATAAGTAAAAGAATAAATAAGTTTAAGTAATAAACGAATAATGTATGTGGTAATGGGGTGGGATAATAATAAGCTTATGCTTCATCCCGCTCCATTTTCGACCATGTTGAAATGTATTTCTTTTAGTTAATAAGATTTTATGTATCATATTTTTGTTCGAAAATAAATAAATCAAATGAAAGATGTACATCATTTATTAATTATGGTTCAGCATTTACTAATGCATTATTAAAATCTAAATACATGCTTGTGAACTAACAATGAACAACTCTGTTTGCATTAGCTAATAATAACAAATGAATAAATAATGTAATAAATGTACTGTTCATTGTTTGATCATGTTAATAAATGCATTACTTATACAACCTCATTGTAAAGTGTTACCAAAGTAATTTCCTTTCTTTTCTATTTTTGTTTCCCTTTTTCCCTAAAATTCTACATTTCCATATCCTCCATACACAACCGAGTGTCACAGACCAGAGCAGAAAAGAAGATGTTTCTTGGTTCAGATTTTAAAAATAATGTTAGGAAAACAAAATTGGCATGCACTATATCTTTAACACATTAAAAGTAAAAGTAAATTGGGCATTCAAATGTTTATTTGCCTTATAAAGGATCAGAGACAAACACTGTGTTTCACTTCTCTTCTGTTACCTATCCAAAGCGCTTTCACTATGAGACTGGCCGAAGTCTGCAAAGAGACTGACATTTGGAAGTGGGCATTATAAATTCCAGAGTTTCTTCACTGCTGCATGTTTTTCATGCGTGAAGCAGAAATGAGCAAAGTAATAAAGGCAAGAACAATCAATGAAATCTCACAGTATCAGTTCCCTTGCATTTTGGTGGAATTACAACTTTGGGGAAAAAACAATTAATATATTAATGGTAGCATGTTAATTAATAAGGCGGTGTTAATGTATTTTATGTATATCCTTTGCAGAGCAAGTGTGGACTGGCTGTTGCCAGTAAATACAAGACAAGCTGCTGTGATCATTTAAGACATGCTGCTGCTGTATCAATACGAATCTGCAAGCAGATCTAGGTGGAAGTGGAGAAGATAGAGAGTTTCAGATGATCTTTCAGTGTAGAAAATGAAAGTGACTGAATGTAATGACCTGTGCAATGTTAATTCATTAAAAATATGCTCGCATTATTAAAACTTTAAAATTACAGTCATCTTTGTTTTATATTGCTTTATACAATATTACTCATGTAAGCAGCTTCCTAAAGCTGGAATTAGCTGCAACTAAAGAAAGTAGTGGATTTAAACCAGTCCTTTACACATGTTAGGGTTAAAATACAGTAGTAGCCTATACTTTTATAAACTAAAAATATACTGCCAAAAAGTAGAAATTGCTGTAATAAATGCTAGATTCCACACAATTCCTTTGTGTAGTCCTATCTTAAATAGATGAGGTTAACTTAATTTAATTTTTTTTTTCAAAGTTAAGATGATGGAACATAAAATTAAGCTGTACCAAAAACATGGAACTGTGTCAATTCAAATTATTTTTATTTATATTATTATTTTATCATGATATATTATTATTTTTTAGGGGTTTTCACCTTTACTGGGAGAGGTTACCTTGGTGCTACGTGTTGACATGCTAACCACTAGGCTGTTTTTTTTTTTTTTTTTTTTTGAGTGATGGTACTCTTTCAGGTGTTTTGCCAGTGCTTTGCTACTAATAAAAATTAAGATAAACTGAAGTATTAGCTAAAAAAAAACACATACAGTAGGCTACTTTAAATACTTGAAAGTAAGTGTAAATGGAAAAATTAAGTGAACCCATCTTTCTGTATACTAAAAATCTGTAAAAGTCACACATATTTACTGGTCAGACTTTTGCTTTGAAATTATATGGAACATGAATGTCTCATCTCAGTTTCACCTTATTATCATTATTTTGTATTTTTAAGCACTTCTTTATGAGTTGATCTGAAAACCACCATAATACAAAAACTGCTAGTACTAGAGTAAAACAGTGAATCCCCTTTAATAATCTCTTATTATTAAATTACAATTACAAAAACAATTTACAAAGTTAAAAGTCATATTTTCATTGTTCAGAGGCATATGTTGCAAGCTTCTAGCAGTAATGACATTCACGTGATGTGCTGCGCTGATCTATTGCAATATCAGCAAGTCCCCCATCAAATCTGAGTTCCCCTTATGCACTCATTTTTACCCCTTCATCCTCATATGAAGTTCAACTAAACGTTTAAGTCATTTTTAGAGTCACTTTAAGATCACACATCAGCTCTGGTTTGTGGCTGCAAAGCTGAGGACAACTGCAACAGGAAGACTCACTTCACACCTTCACAGCATGAATACACATGTAAGAACACTTAAGACTGCAGACTGATCTGCCTTTAAAACCAAGTCAAATGACTGTGACAATAGTGTGACAAACAAAAAAGTAAGATCATGACTTTTTAGCACTTATTAAATGCAAAATTGTTTACTTAACAGTGGAAGTTAAGCCTCTTTCTTTCTCTCTAAAACTTTCTCTCCTATGCATTCTAGGACAGTTTGCAACAAACAGGGATGCAAGATAAAAGACTGCATTCATGAAAATGACTGTAGACTAAATGACTTTTTATTACATGTTGATACTCTTAACCTGAATAATAAAACTAGGCGTTACGATTTTTTTTAATACTTTTTTGATAATCAAAATGTTCCTGTGTGATATGCGGTACAGAATCAACAAAGGCTCCGGCGCTTTTCCATAAAATGTTTTTGCAGTGTGCTTATGATCCACAGTTATATAATCACATATGGGTTCTTTTTTGTCCTTTTGCAAAATATTTTTTTGGTTTTTGAAGGTATTTTCATTCTGTCTTCTGTTGATAAGCCCAGAAGCCCATTAATATATACAGTCAAGCCAGAAATTATTCAAATTTTGACTTTTTTTCCACAAATATGTCTTTTGTAGATCATCTTATTATCTTTTGAATGTGTCAATGCCAGTTTTCACATTTTTTTGCAATTGAAACCTAACCATTTGAGGAATTAGTCCACACAACACAGCTAATATATATATATATATATATATATACACAGTTGAAGTTAGAATTATTAGCCCCCCTGAATTATTAGCGCCCCTGTTTATTTTTTAGCCCAATTTCTGTTCTGTTCTGGGAAGATTGTTTCAGCACATTTCTAAGCATAATAGTTTTAAAAACTTATTTGTAATAACTGATTTATTTGATCTTTTCCATGATGACAGTAAATAATATTTTACTAGATATTTTTCAAGACACTTCTATACAGCTTAAAGTGACATTAAAAGGCTTTACTAGGTTAATAAGGTGAACTAGGCAGGTTAGGGTAATTAGTCAAGTTATTGTATAACGGTTTGGTTTGTTCTGTAGATTATCGAAAAAAAAATTAGCTTAAAGGGGCTAAAAATTTTGTCCCAAAAATGTTTTTTTTTTTTTAAAAAAAACTGCTAGCCGAAATAAAACAAATAAGACTTTCTCCAGAAGAAAAAATATTATCAGCCATACTGTGAAAATTTCATTGCTCTGTTAAAAATCATTTGGGAAATATTTAAAAAAAGAAAATAAAAATCAAAAGGGGGCTAATAATTCTGACTTCAACTGTATATATATTACTCATTGTGTGTTTTATACTAGGGTAGGTTGGTCTGCTTGGTCAGTATGCCAAGCACTGGCATATCTTTGTTTACAAATCCATATTGGGTTTACTTCCATTATACCTCCAGAATTACAATTGTAAAAAAAAACTGTCCATAGCTATGGTCTTCGGTCACAGGATATTTATTTCCTCTCTGTTTCTAAAGTGTGGACTGAGATGAAAAAAGGCTTTTAAATATGGAGCACCGTTTACATGGAATAATCTACAAAGTTGCAGTTTAAAGAATTGATTTCACTAAATGCTTTCAAAAAGAATATAAATGATTTAGAAACTGAAACACAGGCTTGTAGATGTGTTGAATAGTTTGTTTGTCAATGTGTGATTCATGTTAATTGGTAATTGTTTTTTGTTTGTTGTCTGTGACTCATGTGACTTGTATAGCGCCTTATATTGGCCAGGACGCTCTTGTAAAAGAGAATTTTATTTTCAATGTGTCTTTCCTGGTAAAATAATAATAATAATAATAATAATAATAATAATAATAATGGGTGTTTCTCAGTACTGGGTTGCAGCTGGAAGGGCATCCGCTGGGTGAAAAGATATGCTGGAATAGTTGGCGGTTCATTTCCCTGCACTGACCCTGCATTGATTGATGAAAGAAAATGAATATATGTATATATGTATTTACAGATATAAACATGAGCAATTAGTGGCTTGACTGTATATATTAAACCATGTTACCAATCTTACAATAAAGTAACATTTTGATGACCTTTCAAATTTAATCCTGATTTTTTCAAAATTCGTAAATGCCATCCTAAAGATGCCACCACTTGCATGTCTATCCTTTTAATGTTGTCTTGGACAACTGGACCAAATGTCCCCTTGACTATAGTTTCCTGATATCTATCAGTATTGTGTGTCAGAGGTAGTGGTAAGCAACAATAGGCTCATCAGGAAATGAGTACTTGTTTAGGATTTTTTCCTCCAGATTACCAGATGTTTTTTGCACCCCCCTCGAGTGCACAAAAGAAATATACATTCTGTAACTGCTTGAAATCAGTATCTTTGTGTAAAACAAAGCATTTTACAAATATTCAGAAGGTTATCCTAATATATAGTGTTAAACATGTTGTAGATAGTAAATATTGATCCGGATATCAGAATCTATATAAATGTTTATTTTACCTCTGACACCTGTTTCATCTGAAACTCCTGCAGCTGCTGCTGGAAGCCATAGTTTGGGCCCACAAAAGAGCGCACAGCCTTCACCGCAGTAAGACACTCTTGCCAGCCATAGCTGGTGACTGTCATGAGGTAAGCCACCACCACAGTGGTACTCCGAGACACTCCAGCAAGACTAGAGCAGGAAAGAGGCTTGTTATGTTGGGTTTGAACATCAATTATGATATGTCATGAGGAAAACATCCATAATTTTAATTTTACACAGACAGCTGTAAAAATAATAACAATAAAAATAAAAGAGAGATGACAATTTAAATGACCTGATAAACAAACCAATGCTACTGCTAAAGTTAAAATAAAAAATAATGCAACAAGTCACACATGATTTTACAGTTTAATAATGGTAAAACTAAGACAAACGGCTCAAATAATACCACATATCAAAATACCCATAATGCCACAGAGCAAATGAACCCACCAATGAACTAGACATGCCCCTCCATTAAGTCGACACTCATGGATAAAGCGTATGGATTCTTTGAAGTGTTGAGATCTGCACAAGACACAAGAAAGAAATACTTTTACAGAGGGAATACTTTTAATTTGTTCTTCAATTTGTTCTTAAAAAGTTCCTTTCATGTTCACTCTTAATAGATTTTACTCAAAAAAATGTTTGAACTATCTTTAGTTTGTTTTATGAGCATAAAGTAAGATATGCATCACAATTTAAACTAGGTGTTAACGTTTTACCTTTTTTACTCCGTTTACTGCATTTGAACATAACATGAAAATGTAATATTAATATTGTTAACTGCTTGTAAAAGGTTTTCCATTTTATATTTGTTTCTGTATTCAATTTAATAACTTATTTACTTAAGGCATTTTCATGGGGAAAATCTTTCATTTGCTTTTTTGTCTAAATGTAAGCTCCTTGTACAGCACTGATATGTGTTGATAATAAAACAATGTTGACATTTCAACAAAAGGTAAAATCACTAGTACACTTTGATACTGATTTAACATATACGAGCATGGTTATTTCTACCATAAAGATACAATCAATTAATTACAATAGTTATTACTAGTAAATATAATAGCAATAATTAGTAAATACATTAGTAATAATAGTGGTTATTAAATCAGAATTGATGCGGAATCCATGTTGCTGCATTTAGTTGTCATTAATTAACGATGACCTATTTATGTGAATCGATTGTATTGTTAAATCAATGTTACAATGTGATGTTAATTCAATATCATCCCAGATTTCTTGGTTAATGTTAGCATAAAAATAGCAGTGTTGCTTGAATGTGTATTAAACCACAGTGTTAATTCTAATCACTTGTTGAAAAAGGATTGAAAACAGCTTAAATGTGGACAGCCAAATCACTGCTGCGATATGATGCCAACAGGGTTAATCTTAAACCAACATAAACAATTCAAATGAATTTTAATGCTGCATCAGTTTGTTTCTGAGCAGTGTGAAAAAAAACAAATACAAATAAAAACAACACCATTCCAGTTGATTCACAATAAAACACATGTTTTTAATTAATTTAACTGCTGCATGACAGTCCCAAAACATGTTTTAAATTCTGATACCTGATAACTTTGACAGTAGACATGGGCCGGTATAAGTTTTGGACAGTATGATAACCTTGGATAAAAATATGATGGTTTCATGGTATTGTGATCACTGCTCTAAAATAAGCTTTTTTAAATGTCTGAATAAAAACAACAACTTTTTTAAACCCTTTGAACAAACACAATATATTTTATTTTAGGAAACATTTCTTATAGTTTGGAACAGTAAACATGTCAGGCTAAACAGTACAAATAAATCATTGCTCTCTTTATTGCTTTTTAAAAACTACTGTACATGCTTAGGAACAGCATAACAGAAAATTGTAGCAGTTTTAAAACCCTGACTTTTCCATACCATGGTAAACCTTAAACAAGTTATCATCCCATGCTTACTTGACAGAATAGGTTAGCCAGTCAGAAAAGGCAATTCGTTTTTTTACAGCAAGCCTAACGTTGACTTGTCTTCTTGAAATACGATCCACCATCAGCTTTTTAAATGTCCAACCTTGTATAATGTTTAAACAATAGCATATATTATACAATTGAAATCAGAATTATTAGCCCCCCTGCTTATTTGCCCCCATTTGCAGTTTATTGCAGAGAATATTTTTTAAACACATCTATCTTTGAAATATTTAAAAAAGAAAAAAAATCAAAGAGGGGCTAATAATTATGACTTCAATTGTATGTGTGGGTGTAGTGGTGTCTTGTTTCATAGGTGAATATTTTTTATCCCTACCCCTTCACACTATTAGGATTGAGTCTAAATCTAATCATCAACAAGGGTGTGCTTCTTAATTCTTTAATTGTCCAGCGTCATGTGTCTTAACTTATTTAGTTAAATGAAAGAATCCAAGGTCAAGTTATCAAGTAATAGAACTGAAAAACAGAGAACCTAAAAATAAAGGCATAGACTGACCATCATTTAGAAATGTTTACACCGAGTGCAAACTAAAATCCCAAACTGACCATTTTCAGTTGTTTTACCAAACTTACTTAATGACTAACTTTCTTAATGCCAAGTTCACACTTTTTTCAATTTTAAAGACATTGGATCACCATTGTTTTCACACAACACGTCTATCAGGGGTAGAAATTAGTTTCTTCCGAGTTTACTTTGGATGACGGACTGGCAACAGGAGATTTTAACCCTACTTGCAAAATACACTAATACAATAAGAAGAATCACAGGCAAGTCTGTCTGTTCCGCAAACTGTTTCACAACCAAATGCATGTAAGAAGTGATAAGGACCAAGTAGGAGCCTTTCTGAAGTCAACTGAGTGCTCCACTGTGCAATTTTAGCCCTGATTTCACTAGCTCACAAATGCTAGAACTTGAAGTTGAAACGGTGCTCCTTCATGCAAGTGAAAATCATGCCATGTGAATCTGAGCCCAATGATATCAGGCATGCTGAATATCTAGAAATGTTGCCAATTTAAAACCCTACTGTGTGAAATGAGTTCTACTTAAAAAAAAAAAAACATTGCAATGATCTGTTGATCTGAAATACAGGGAAGTTTGGGGAGGAGTTATAGCTAACAAAATAAAGCACTGCTTCTGCTGCGTTCACACTGCGTGATTTCACACTGTAGTTTTCACTGTATAACTGGTGTAACATTCCATTGGTGCAGTGTTCGTACTACACAATGGATTGCTGTCTAGGGGTTAAACAACCATATAAGATCCACAGTCTATGTTTCATACCAAAACACATGCAAGCATCGATGAGGAACTAACTCTACCCTCATCATTAAATGAGTCATCTCATTGCAAATGAATTCTTTGAGAAAGAGGTCTTTGCAGAGAAAAAGTCTCCAATTTCTAACTTTGTGGGTGTTTTCAAACTGGTCAGTGTTTTTCGTGCGATAAAAACAACCCCCCTTCCTGATCCCACCAATAAAACTTTCACTTTAGCATGAACCAACCAAATAAGATGGTCAAAAATGGTCCTTTGTTCTGACCTGACCCAGTAATATGGTAACTCCCTTTACTTTCCTCCAGAGTTAATACTTTTTTCAGTCATAATTCATTTCCTCTCCCCTAGAGCTGGCTATCATTGACACAGATACAGTGTCTGCTAATCCACCATCCACAATCACCAGACTTTTACTACCTCACATGTGGGCTCACCCATTATCTCACCACACATACACTACCGGTCAAAAGTTTGGGGTCAGTTTTTTTTTTTTTTTTTTTTTTTTAAAGAAAATTATTCCGTTCATTAAGCATTTATTAGATGTAAATAAATTGTTAAATATTTATTACTATTTTTAATAACTACTTTCTTATTGAATACAGTCTCAAGTGAAATTATTACTCCAGTCATTATTGCTTTTATCACTATTATCATTAATAATAATAATAATAATTATTATTATTATTATTATTATTACTATTATTATTATTATAGTTAATATTAGAGTGATTTCTGAAGGATAATGTGACTGAAGACTGGAGTAATAAAGCAAAAAATTCATCTTTAAAATCACTGGGAAAAAATATTAAATTAAATGATAAACTACTTTTGAAGTTATTTTATAGTGCAATAACATTTCACAATTTTATAATTTGTACTGTATTTTTTAATGAAATAAATGCCGGCTTGGTGAGCAAGAGAAACTTATTTTAAAACATTTAAAAATTGTACTGACAACTTAAACTATACAACTTTTGACCGGTATAGTGTAAAGCAGTCACGTAAAAAAGAATGTCATCGTTGGTTTAGTCATTATCAAATGTCTGATTCAGCGTCTGTCATTAAAATGGTTTGAAATAAGTACTTCCTAAAACTCTCTCATATAGACAGCAAATCCCAAACAACAAGCATTTGCTCCTGAACATAAAACAATAAGTTGTTTATTGCATTTCTTCCAAGTTCTTAGGTGCAAACCTATTTAGTGTATACTGTACTGTATGAAGAAAGAAACACTGTGGTTTCTCCTATTGCAGTAACTTCCGTTTTTTTTTTTCTCTGTGGTATTTGGTGCCAGGTGTTTTAACTTGGGAATAAAACACTAAATACTTGTTCAGCACCACACTTTCCTTCTTGTGTGCTGTCAAATGAAATTATTTTATTGCTAATCCAACATACATTAAACTTTAAAATGTCTGTCTTACTCTGGCAACCTGGTATATCTACATTTGCCTTATGTTTAGTCATGGAAGTACTAAAACATGTGGAACTGATAAAGCATGTTAAGGTGCATTATGTCAAGGAAATAAATCATGGTAATACCACAATGTTAGCATTCTTATCTTATTTAAGGCATTGCATCAACATTAACATAATGAATGTGCGAGTTTAATGAGAGTGAGAGTTTTAAAGAAGAACATCTCAAAGTGTTTTTTTTTTTCAGACTAAAATAAATATATGCTAAATTTGTTTAGAACTGGGTCGGTCAGTAAAAAAAGCTTGAAATCAAAAAATATTTAATTTCATTCTTCATAAAAAAAAAAAAAACATTTCAAAATGTGTTTCAGGGTCAAGAAAACACATTCTCTACCTTCACACATTTAGATAATATGCATTTTAAACTAGTAACAGAAATATCTTATGTACAACTGTACACTCTCTTTACAACGGCCCCTCTATGGTAGATTCCCCTGAGGAAGGACCTTCTTTCTCAGGGACGAGGCACAAACTGGCTCTCATGTCCAGCTCTCTGGAACCTCCATATATAGTCCACAGACACGAACTGGAAGACTTAGGTGATCTAGCAGATGGTGGTTAACAACATTATCCAGACAAGATCCCCCTCTACAAGGCAAACTTAGACCCTGAAATGGAGTCTATGGATTGAGTGTGTACAGACTGCGGGGTTACATTGCAGCCATTTCCGTTCACTGAACTTGTAAATGGCCTGACGGTGGGGAAACATGACCTGGTCACCTAGCGCTAGGAGGGTTAATCTGTCTCACGCGCCTCTTATACCCTCTTGACATATCTGCGTAGTCTTTTCTGGATTACA